CAGGTTTGTTTCCCCTTATTAAAGATAGAGAGACAATCAACAGGCGATTAGATGGAAAAGTGATTAATGGAAAAGAAAGAGATTATTGTACTATACTTACAGATGATGAAGAAGCATCTATTGTGCGTTTTATAAAAAATAAGAACAGATGTTTACAGGCAATTAACAAACAGGACATAACCAAATTAATTATTAATGTGCTTCGTGTGAGAGATTACACTAATACAAAAATGAAAGGTGGACGGAAGTTTCAAAAGTTATCATTAAATGCTCGAGCTGCTCTAGAAAAGGGAAAGTAAGTTTAATTGAATTCATTTAATCTACAATGATCCTATAAAAGTATGTAATATGACTCTTTTCTTTATGTAAATATTCCATTTTATAGATTGAGTCGATCATTTTGGCTTCGTTTTAATGCTAAACATAGCAGCCTTACAATCAAACGTCAAGGGAGTGTCTCGATAAACCGTGCACTTAATTGTTCAAGAGAAATGGCATGTAATCATTTAGTTATTAATGAACAAATATAAATTCATAAATCTGAATGTACTTTTTTTTTTAATTTGTTCATTTCCCTATAATAACATTATTTCAGATTCCCTTGCTAAAGAACTAGTAGATGTTGGTATTATGATAAATGAAAAAATGATTGAAACAGGGGTTTGGAATGGCAGTGTTGATACATGCCGAATATTTAATTGTGATGAAACACCCCAGTTTATTAATTATGGAATTGATGGTACCACTTCTGGATTATTTTATGCTGGCAAAGGAGATGCATGTCAAAGAATTTATAGAGAAAACAGAGAATGTGTCACAATTCAACCATTTGTTTCATTTTCAGGTATGCTATAATATGTTATGGTTCAAGAAAAAATTGAATATAAATAAATACAAGCATTAAAAAACTTTTTTATTTTTTATTTTTAGGCGACATATGCATGTGTCAGGTAATATTTAAATGTACTGGTATTACTAGTTCGATGGTTCCAACAGAAGCAGTAAATAAAATTCCCCATTTGTTGGTCACAACTACAGATAATGGAGTATCAACCCATGAATCTTTCTTGGCAGCATTGAAAGAGTTTGATGTCTACTTAAATGAAAAAAATGTTAAGCGACCCATCGTCTTATTATCAGATGGACATAGCTCTAGACTAGACTTTGATGTATTATCTTTTTTGGAGTCCAAAAGAATTCATCTTTTTCTTACTCCACCAGACACAACAGGAGTTACTCAACTTCTTGACCAAGTAAACAAGAACATTCATAGTGAGTATCGTAAGCAAAAAGACTCTATGTTTTCTGATATCTGTTCCTTAAACAAAGAAGCTTTTATGTTAGTTTTAGCTAATATATGGGACAAGTGGACAACCAAAGAAACGCTTGTAAAATCTGCTAAAAGGGTTGGTGTTGCCGAAAATGCATTGAGTGTTGATTTTATGCAAAAAGACAAATTCGAACGAGCAGAAAACTGTATTGAACCAGAAAAACAGATTTCTCCACTAATTTCTTCGCCGGATAAAAGACGTGGTTCAGCAAATTATTGGAAATCAAAATTTGAACAAGCGATGGAGTTGATTGATGAACTTCATGAAAAGAGCATTCAGCTGGAAGAAATACCTGGTTTTATGACAACCAAAAAGATAAAGCCAAAATTAACAAAAGATGCAACACGTGTTACCCAAGTACATGGATCAATGACTGCAAGCGATGTAATAACTCTAGTTGAAAGCATAAAAAGAAAAGAAGAAAAAGAAAAGGAAAAAAAAGAAAATGCTGCAAAAAAGAAAGAGGAAGTTACAAGACTCTTTATAACATGTAAGCTTCAATGCTATTGCGAGGAGATAAAATGTAAAGCTTTTGGCTTAAAGCAGTGTCCAACCTGCCTCAATATAATGCGGTCCATTTGCAGCAAAGCAAACTGCAAAGTAAATGGAAAAAACCCAGAAATGATTTTATCTGCAGCTGCTAGAAAGAAATAACTGTGATATTCAAAATCTTTTTTATTGAATGAACTATTTGTTTTAAATTTGCTGTAAAGACTTGTTCTGGATAAACTTTTTTTTTTTAACTTTTTCTTAGCGCACCCCAAAAACCACATGTTAAAATGTAATTTTTAAACTTTTTTTTACAAGTTTCCCTTCTACTTATAATAAAAATGGTTTGATTTATGTAAATAGCATATAAAAGATAAGCAAACTAGATGGGATTTGCAAACTTAGTCTAAAAAACCAATATTTTATAGCAATATTACTTAAAACTCAATTATTTTTCTCAGCACTTTTTAAGTTTAAAACGGTTGTAAAAAAAACTCCTTTATTGTTAATATTGATTTCTTTTGTTTTAATTGTTGCTGTAACATTCCTTTATGAGAAAAAATTTCTCATATGGTTTTAAAATGCATATTTAAATTTTTAGAGCCTTTTAACTGACCGCGTTGTTTTTGAGGTGCCTTGGTTTTTGGAGTGCATCTACCTGTAGATAGTTAAAACAACTTCCAAGATTGTTATTACAAGAAAAAACATTACTTACATTAATCTTTGTAAAACTTCAAGATTTATCATTGACTTCATATATTTTCTTTAACTTTGTTTTGGGAAAAGCAAAATTTTGAATCACAGACTTTCAAATTTTGGAGGAGCTGAATGAGTTAAAGAAGTTGCTACTAATAAAAATTCATTAGGCATATTACATAAAATAAATTATATTACATAAACCATTACATAAAATGAACTATAGCCAAAAACGTTGTTTTATTTTAAAACTGAAGGCAAAAATAAAAATGAAATTTAGAGTTAAATACATTTAATCAAATAAAATTTCTTTAATTTAAAACAAAATTAGATACAAGAAATACAAACACATCAATTCTAGATTCCTAAATGCATATTTAAATAAATGCAATATGAGTTTTTGAAATACAAAACAAAAATGTAACATAATATTACCAAATACAAACATATAATTGACTAAAACATATATATCAACTGACACTTAATGTAGTTGACGATCCTAAAAATAAAATCTTAATTAACAAGTAAATAAAATTCATGGATAAAGTAAAAAATATTCTTACAAGTGTTATTTTTTTAGCATTAGCATTTTTTATTTATTTATTTTTTTAATTTTTCTGTTCAACTTTAAATTGTATCTAATTGATGTTTCACACTATCTACTTCTAAATTTTAACTAATACTACAAAATCTACTAATTTTAACTAATAATAATTAATAGTTCTAAATTTTAACTAATTCTAATAATTTTAAATTTTAGCGTAACTCATTTTTATTTTATTTGACATATATTTTGTATTTTTACTATTAAAACTGACGCTATTAGTAAGGATTTTAAGGAGACATTTTTCTATTATTTAAAAAGATTTGGTCACGAAAGTCAATTTTTTGAAAGAAAAAATAGCAGAATTAAGGAGAAAATAACTACATTGAAAACAGAATCATATTTTTTTTCAATAAATTTTAAATAAAAACAGAAAAATTATTATAAATTAACATATTACTTGTTAATTTATAATAATTTTTACGTGTTTGAGGTTGACAAATAATGCTGACCTTGTTTCTATGTTTAATGGTAAGACTTTTGAATCACTTTTTTTTGCTTTTATGATTGATATCGACAAATTATTGTCAACCTTTTTTTTCTTAATTCCAAGGGTTGTGTATATATATATATATATATATATATATATATATATATATATATATATATATATATATATATATATATATATATATATATATATATATATATATATACAATAGAAATATAGGTTTGCAATCAATCAAAGGACTATATAATTTCTATAATAATAAGTATAATCCATTTACTTTAATAAAATTTCCTAGATGATAAAAAAAAAGGAGAAATTAAGGAGTGTTTCTCATCGGTTACTTAGTAAATTGCCAATAACATTCCAATACGTGATATAGTGGTTATTCATATGTTAATACAGTTATATTAGAGACAGGTGGATAGAAAATTTCCTTCAGAGTAAAGGAAATTTTTTACCCTTCTGTCTTTTATATAACTGTTACGACTGGTTTAGTTTTTTCAATTAGACTTATTTTTTAGTCAAAACTTTTAAACTTCACTAATAACTAATTACAAAAGTTAAATAATTGGTTATTAGCGAAGTTCCAAAACTTGATATTGTAATATTTCAAAAAGTTCATTAACTAATGTACTGGTCCAATTATTTCGAATAGAACAATCTAAAATTTGTTAATTAAAGATATTGAATTATATTGAATTATCAGCATAAACTCTCTGTATTATTAATATGTTTTCCTTTTGAAAAATATGACTATGCATGAGATTCTTCAATGTCTAAGTCTTTAAAACAGTCAGAACTTGGTTCTTAATATAGTATATCAATTATTATACTTGAAATACTATATCAAGTGTCAAGTATATATATATATCAATTAATATATATATATATATATATATATATATATATATATATATATATATATATATATATATATATATATATATATATATATATATATATATATATATATATATATATATATATATATATATATATATATAGTATATCATATACCCAGTTTTAAACAATTTATTTCATTATCTGTATCAATTTCAATATATGTATCAATAATAATACTCAAGTAATTAAATGTTTGAAAATATATATATAAATTAGCAAGATCCTGTCTATAAGTCGCTTTTCATAAGGTGTTTTTAAAATTCTCCTTGAATCTTTGGGAAATGCAAACCTTGATTTGGCAATATTTCAAGGAGATCATTAACTAATGTACTGGTTTCATTATAAAATAGCACAATGTTGTCGAGTAAAGACATTGAATTAAAAGAATTATCAGGATAATTGTTCCATGTATCATTAACAGGTTTTCCTATTGAAAAATTTGATTCTGCATGAGATGTCTAAATCTTTGAAATTGTTAGAACTTGATATAGCAATACTATACTAATAGTATATCAAGTATATATATTAGGTACGTCGATATCCGCGTTTTACGGAACCGATAAATGTGCTAAAATTCTGTGCCACGTTTTTTGAACTTCGCATTTAGAGAGGTAGGTTGTGCTGTGTTTTGTCGCCTTATTTTTTATAATTTCATATTAACATAGATATTTTTTAGAAACTAGAATGATTATACTTTAAGAATTTGTTGGTACCTATTTTCCTTAATCTGAAATTTTTTGCGGGCGATCGGGGGGTGCAAAAAAATCGAATTCTTTAACTTTAAAAAAAAATAAAATTTTTTTGTAAATTTTTTATTTTTACTAAATTTTACTTTTTTTAGATAAAATGAGTGAAGAGATAAATTGTAAGATAATCAAAATTTTTATTTTCATTTTCCAATTAATTTATTAGTTATCTTTTATGCAAATAGTATCACTATTTACTTAGATATGATAATACTTAGTAATGCTAATTCTTTCTAATCTTTGTCTAATCTAATAACAGTATTTCTGAGTAATTGTATTGTTTATTTAGTAAGAAGTACATAATGGTAGAAATTTATGTTTCTGTGTATGATTCTATGTATCAAAGTCAGAATCTATATCAATAAATATAGATATAATAATACTATTAGTACTATTACTAATAATTACTAATAGTTTTATTATTATATATATATATATATATATATATATATATATATATATATATATATATATATATATATATATATATATATATATATATATATATATATATATATATATATATATATGTATATATATATATATATATATAAACATATATTTATATAACTTTTGTTTAAATAAAACGGATATAAATTGTTTTAAATAGTTCCTTTGTTATGATTGTTTAGATGCACAAGCTATTGAAAGCTTATATGAAAAATTAAGTTAGTAATTCAATTTTGTTATTTAGTTATTATTTATTTAATTATTTAGTTAGTAATTCTCATTTATTGAATCTATTTTATTTTTAATTCTATTTTTATTAAAACTGTTTTGTTATTTTAATTATTATGTTTTTATATAATCTTATAATAATATAAAATTCTAACAATGTAAATAAAAATAAAATATATCTGTAATGAACTAACAAAAATAAAAATAAAAGCCATTATTATAGTTATAACTTTTTTTTTAAGTTATTTGTTCGCAATTGGTTATTTTTGTTTTTTTAGACACTATGGAGAATACAATAAGTATGCATTTTATTGTATCGTCTAATACTTTGTTAAAAATAAATTATTGTTTTTCAATCTCGGATTTATTTACTATTAGTTACTTATTTATTTTTTAGACAATTTAGTTAACGCTTGTAAGTAAATTTTGTTTTTGGATTTAAAAAATTTAATATGCAATTTATGTATAAGACCAATTTCGAATATATAGTTTGTGTATATGAAGCAAAAACTTGAAAATTGTATTATTACTAATTTTTTTTATAAAAAGGTTTATAATAATTGTTATTCTTTAGTGAAACCTTCATCAAGTTCCTCAAGTAAGATTTTCTCTTTTCAGGTTTTATAATAATAATAAATTATAAATTTTTTTCTTTTATGGTTGTCAAATCAGATGAGAATATCCAATTATTTATAGTAGTAAATTTTAAAAAACAAAGTTTATTTTATGATATTTTCCTTTTGTTTAGTGATTGTCCCAGCTACAACTACAGGTATCGTTAATTTGCTATTCAGGCTTGAAACTCAAAAATATATATAATTTCAGTATGTCATTTAGGTTTATCTAATAATTTTAATTGTTATCTTTAGCTGTATCTCCAAATTCCAAGACTGGTATGATTATATGTTAGAATTATTTAAAGTTACAAAATTTATGTGCAATTTTAACTTATTTTTTTATCTTCTTTTAAATTTTTTAGTTGTTGCTTCAACTTTTAACATAGGTGAGGTAACCTGTAATGTTTTACAATGTTTGGTTTTTAAATTTATAAAAAATTTGAAAATTAAAGTTATAAAATTTTATTGTGATATTCATATTTTTATATAATTTGTATTTTTTATATTCAGCAGGCTCTTCAGTTGACAATTCTGGTAAGCATATTATTCTAATTATGTAAGAAAAAGCAATAGATAGAAAAGAAATTTAGTCTATGTTCTCTCTTTTTAATGTTTAGTGGTTAAATCTGCAGAAAGCACAGGTATTGTTACTTTTCTATATAATACATAAGTATATATAGTTTGATAATAATATATATATATTAGAATATGTTCTTTATTTTTACATAATATTTTTATTTGTTATTTTAACTGCAGCTCAAGATACCCAGACTGGTATAAATAAATATATTAATTAATTTGAAGTTATAAAATTTTATTGTGACATTAATATATTTTATATAATTTGTCATTTTTATATTCAACAGGGTCTTCAGTTGTCAATTCTGGTAAGTATATTTATCTGATTTTTTGAAAAATGTGAAATGTAAAAATAATCTGGCTTTATCTCCTCATTTTTGATTTTTGAGATAAAACGATTCAAAAAAGAAAGACTTTAGAAGATGGCATATAAAATTTTTATTTATAACTTATGTTTCTTTTATCTTATGCTACTTTTCTTATTTTTAGTGGTTACCTCAACATCAAGCACAGGTAACATCTGCAAATGAGCTTTAACAGAGCTTTAATCAAAAATATATTTTTGAATGTCATCTATTTTTACATAATATTATTATTTGTTACCTTTAGCTAGATCCCAAGATACCCAAACTGGTATGAATATGTATAAGATTTATTAAAAATTTAACATATGCAATTTTAAATAGCTTTTTTATGAACTTTTTTTTATATTTTTAGTGGTTGCTTCAGCATCAAACATAGGTAAGGTAACTTTTGAATAGTTAAAATTCACCTATGTTCAAAATATTTTTATGCTCCTTTTCTAAATCTATTATAACTTTTTATATTTTATCTGTAGTGAGCGTAAGTGATGGAACAGCCTCATCAGACAACAGTGGTGAGCGTATACATTGTTACTTGCAAAAGTATATAAAATAATAATTTCTCAAGACTATTTTTCATTTTTATTTTAAAACACAAACTTGTATTATGCTTTCAGAACTAACACATGAACGGTACATGGAATATAGAAGGCAGCACCCGGGCTCCTACTCACATTATTCCTATCTTGTGTGGGTGGAGCATGGAGGTCACGATCGGCAAGACTATTATTGGAACCGTGATTCTCCATACCGGAGTGCTGCCTACAGAAGTAGGAGACGAGGTGGCCGTGGAAAACGGGGGAATGTGTTTCAAAATTTGTACCACAGTTGTTCTAAGTGGCAAACAGGTACCGTTATTGTAAGTGTCTGAGTGAGCGGTAAGAATTAATAAACTTTTTTTTAGTGTTATACATATTTAAATCAAACTTATTATATTATTTTTTTGGTTTCTTTTACATTCTTAAATTCATTAAGAAACTCATTAGTTGCAACTAATTTATGCTTTAATGGTATAATGGGTAGACACGTATTTAAAGGAGAATTTAAAAAACATTTACTTAGTAATTTTATGTTGCCATCTAACACAAATATAAGGTGCCTGAATGGACACGTTTTGTTTCTCTATACTAGCAATGATGAGTTGTTTACCAAAACAGTAGCAAAAGTCAATGACCATTTTAACTTGAATATTTGCTCCAGTCATATCAAAAAAGTAGTGTCCATAGCCAAAAACTGGTCTAAACATTTTTTAAGGGAATATGAAAGTTGTGTTGCATTTTGTAATGAGCCCTTTGTAAACCATGCACAAACGATTGCAATTTCATCGCAGCTTACCTTAAGTAGCACTAATTACACACTATCACATTCTTCTCTTTCTTCATTATCAGAACACACCAGTGTCACATCTCTGATAAGTGATGAACCTTCATGTTCTGTTGGCCATAAAGCAAATTTAACAACTAGGCAGACTTCAATAGAAAAATTGAGTCCTACGAAGAATTTAACAAATTTAGCAAATTTAACAACTAGGCAGACTGCAATAGAAAAATTGAGTCCTACGAAGAAAAAATTAACTAACCACTTGTCTCATTTGTCTTCTAGATTAACAATATCTTCCATAGCAAATCGTAAGAAGATAGCTTCAATGAAAGCAAAATTATCAAGCCTGCCATATAAATTAAAAGTTCTAAGGCAAAGTGTTAAAAGAAAAGAAGATATTATAAAAGCTTTAAGAGCTCAGGCTAGAGACTTAAAACATAAAAACCAAACATATTATTACAGCAGGCAAATTCGCAATCTTGTTGCATCAAAAAAAGCAATAAAAATCAAAGAGAGAGAAAAGTTTAGAAAGTTAGCTCTCAAACATAATGCTGCGATTAGAAAAAATAAAACAGATATTACTAGCTTAGAAGATAGTTTGACCCAAATGGATGAGGACAAGATAAGTATTACAAATTCAACTGATTGTAAAAGCTATCCATTAAAAATGAGAATGATAATATACTGCATGTTATTGTGTAATGTCCCAACAAGTAACATTCCATTTCTAGTAGACAAAATTGGGCAATATTTCAGTATTATTTTTTCTCACATTCCTTGCCGTACTACTATTGAGCAAATGGCTCGTGAGCTTGGCAGTATTGCTGATCTACAGGCAGCTGAATGGATCATTAGTAATACTCATCTTACTCTTGGGTTTGACGCAACTACACAAGAAGGTGTTCATATCAACAGTATTCACTTAACTTCAAATGATAAATGCCAGGTAATTGCTGTTGATCAATTACCAGGTAGGACAGCTGTGGATTATGCGAACCATATATGTAACGAAGTGGATCATATAGCTTTAGTATATTCTAACTTTCACTTGAAACCCTTTGATGAATGTCGTCGTATGGTCATCTTAAATATTTCAAACACAATGTCGGACAGAGTATCTGTTAATCATCTTACAATAAGAAAAATTTGTGAAACTTGGGGTAAAAGTCTGAATGAATTAAACTGTCATTTGCACCCCTTTGACACAATTGCCACATCATGTCGTTCAGCTTTAAAGTCTCTAGAGCTCGAAAGCTGCGAATTATATGGAAATGATTGTATAGCGGCAAAAATTGTTTTGGCTATGAATAAGATGAGGTTCAAGGATGGCAAAGGTGACCCAAAGGGATTTGTTAATTTTTTAGACAATAATAAACTACCACGAGGTATCATTCCAAGGTATCGTGGAAATCGCCTTCACATTCTGTTCTACACTTGTTTTATTTTTATAAAACATTATAGCAAATTTTTACATTTTTTAACTATAGGAACAGTAAAAATAAAAACTTTACAAAGGGTTCTGCGAGTAGCATTTTGTAATACAACTGCTATAAAGCAAATGTGTCTACTTGCTTTATTTGGAAAACTTCTTACAGGGCCGTGGATGACAATGTTTTATGTGTCATCTGAGAAAGCATATTTTGATCATGTTGGTGGTATCCATATTGTTAAAAATGTTGTGCAAACAATTAAAGACTGCAAATGCGATCCAGCTGCAATATTTTGCAGAACAACAGATTTTTTTGGAAATGCTCTCAAAGCAAATGTGTTAGAACCAATAACAAAAATATGCATAATTGATGACGAGCTCATTGCCATGATCTTGGCTTGCCTCAATGCAATAGAAGTGGTTTTAAATCGACAGTATAAACGCTATTTTTCCATTACCATTAAAGAAGCACTTGAAAAAGAAACAGCTAGTGCAAAACTTCATAACATAGATAGTGAAGAATTAATGGGAATGTTCAGTGCTGCAAAAGGAAGGTCTCCTAATGCATCTATTGATTATATATCTTGCAAATTACGAACCAAAAAGAATGGGACAACGGCTTATCTGGATAATCTTGATGACTTTTCTAGAAAAATGGTAGTTCAGTGGTCTATGCAGGCAGCACGTAGAAAACGAATAAAAACTCGACAACAACATTCTGAAATTAGAGCTGAGATTTCTAAAAGACAGACTATAAAACGCCAAAAAATCGATGAAAAAGAAAAAAGAAAATTAGAGCAACAATTAACATTATTAACTATCAGTGAAATTCTGAATTTGTTTAAAAACTTATCTACTAAGCAAATTGATGATTTAAAAGATGTTATGTGTGTTGGGAGAAATCTTTGCCATGAATGGTATGATTCCGATACAGCAATGACAGTCTTGTATAATGGCAGAGTAGAAAAACTTAAAAAAGCTCAGAAAGATATTATATACACTATTTCTTACTGGACTAGAGAAGAAAATGATACTGAAGCAGTTGATTATTATATGAAAAAATTCCAGCTAGTTGCTGACATTGTATCCGGTGAGTTGATGTTTTCCTAATGTAAATATGTTGCATTTATTTTCTTATTATTGGAAATGCATTTGATTATCTTACTACTTTATTTTACTATGGTTGACTCTCTATTTCTCAATCTCTCTCTCTCTCTCTCTCTCTCTCTATATATATATATATATATATATATATATATATATATATATATATATATATATATATATATATATATATATATATATACATATATATATATATATATATATATATATATATATATATATATATATATATATATATATATATATATATATATATCAATAATATGCAAATGTACAGTGAGAAGTGGTACTTGCACAAAAACTTTATAGCAAGTAGTGGAACTTGCAAAAAAAATATAGCAAGTAGTGGAACTTGCAAAAAAAATATAGCAAGTAGTGGAACTTGCAAAATAAAATATAGCAAGTAGTAGAACTTGCAAAAAAAAATATAGCAAGTAGTGGAACCACTCGCTATATTTTATCAAAAAAAATTGCAAGTCAAAAAAAAATATAGCAAGTAGTGGAACCACTCGCTATATTTTATCAAAAAAAATTGCAAGTTCCACTACTCGCTTGATATATTTTATGCAAAGTTCCACTACTCGCTATATATTTTTTTGCAAGTTCCACTACTTGCTATATATTTTTTGCAAGTTCCACTACTCGCTATATTGCAAAATAAAATATAGCGAGTTGTGGAACTTGCAAAAAATATATAGCAAGTAGTGGAACTTGCAAAAAAATATATAGCGAGTAGTGGAACTTTGCATAAAATATATCAAGCGAGTAGTGGAACTTGCAATTTTTTTTGATAGACGGCTCTGGCTTACGTTCACGTCGTGTCTATTGTTAACAATGATTAATATATAGTTTCATTAATGGAATTTAATATCTTAATCATTAACTAAAAGCCAAGGCGCAAACTAATTAGAATAATATTATAAAACATTTTTTGTTTTTGAAATTCTCTTTTAGGTCAGAGGGGGAACCATCTATAACTATCACAAAGCATTGTGTGATGTATTTTGAGTTTTGGTAAAAGATGTTTTTGAATTAAAGTTTATTATTTTAATTGCATTTAAATACTTTTATGAATCTCAATAAAAATATTTTTTTTTTAGGTTGTCAAAAAAAAGGGAGGGGGGGGAACACGCCCCCTCCCCCATTTACACCCCTTGAAACAAGGGGTGCGCTGCTAGTGATTTTGTAAAGTAGTAAAATATACTTTTTGATTTGAATACTAGATTTCTTTTTAATTATAAAGATAAATATTTATATAAAGAGTCATTTTTGATAATAGGGTGTTTGAAACCATCACCCTTACATCCACCCAAAGGCAATGATGAATATTCTATATTTGATTGTGGTCTGCTAGCTAATAACAAAAACATCTTGCATATAAAATATTTACATTTTCATTAAAAAAAACACTTTTTTATAAATATAGTACGTCTTTATTGCCGGTAAGGATGGTGGTTTTGTGCCCCCTCTTACTCCCCGGATGCGCCCGTAATCAAGAAACCTTTGTAAATTTGTAGATGACTCTTGTATCTATCTTTTGATACCAAGATATAAACATTTGGATAAGAATTGGTTAAGTTATAATAGTTTTAGTTAATAAAAAGTTTATTTTGACCACAGTTTCTTCAACAAATCCTAATATCAAAAAATCGGTACTTAAAACGTCATAACTTTTTGTAGGGTGGTTCGATTTTGAAAATTTTTTCACTTTTAGAATATTGACATTAAGCTCTTTTTAATGATATATAACAGCCTATAATTTGATGAATTTAAAAATTTCATGTAACTTACCTATATATATACATAGTATATCATATATTCAGTTTTAAACCGTTTCTTTCATTATCTGTAAAAATTTCATTACCTGTATCAATATTACCACAATTTTCAAGTAATTGATAACAAAAACAAAAATTAGATGGAACGTCTCTATTAGTTGTTGTAAAAAGACTTCTTTTGTAATTGAAAAAAAACTTTTTAAAAAATGCGTTACTTAAAAATTTTAAGAAGTTTTAGCGCTTGTGTGATTTAACTGATTTTTTTTTATTTAATAAAGCATTCTGGATATTTTTTGGACGAAAAAATTATTGGACGCAAAAAAGACGTTCTAAAGACGTTTAGAATTTAATGGGACGGACGGACGCGATTTGAACGTCCTAAGGACGTCTTTTTTACGTCCTGTGCCCACTAGGAAGAAGGCTATAGCATCAGACAAATAGCAGAAAAGATCGGAAGGTCTCACTCTTGCATTATTAACATAATTCAACGATACAAAGAGACCGGGTCAATTAATGATCGTCATAGGACCGGACGCAATAAAATTTTAAATGACCGTGATGTTTGCTCGTTAGTGAGATTAATGAAAGTAAACAGACAAGCATCATCTACAGACTTGTCTATGAAATGGACACTGTCCAATGGTCTGAAAGCAAGCCCTAGAACTGTGTGAAGGGTCCTCCACAATTTAAATTATTTATGGCATGCTGGTGCAAAAAAACCACGCTTAAATAAAAAACAAAAATTTGCCAGGAAAGAGTGGCGCAAACTACATAAAAATTGGTCAACAGATCAGTGGAGCCGTGTGGTCTTTAGTGATGAAATGAACGTTAAGGTAGACAACAGAAAAGGTCGCGTAATGTTGCATAGACTCCCAAGCAAACGGTTCGATGAATCATGCATTTTGAAACGAACAAAACAAGGCAGTGGTTCAATAGGCATTTGGGCCTGTATGCGTGCCTGTGGAGTTGGGGTTTTTCATTTATTCGATGGTAGACTCAACAAAGAAAGGTACATCGAAATTTTGGAAAACTCGCTTTTTCCTAGCATTGATTTATGGCAGTTGCAAGATGGATTTATTTTCCAGCAAGATAATGCGCCATGTCATAAAGCGCATGTTGTTAGCGATTGGTTCAATTCTAATAAAATTCAATTGCTTCCATGGCCTGCCAATAGTCCAGACTTAAATCCAATAGAGAATTTATGGTCGTAGCTTGATCACAAGCTTGGTAAAGAACAACTTTACAATTAAATCTCTCATCATTTGAATAATGAAGTAATCAAAACTTTAATAAATTCAATGCCAGAACGAGTACAAGAGTGCTTGAAAACAAATGGAGGAACAACACGTTTCTAAATTATGTTTTATTGCTTTTTGAAATATTTTTGAATCAGGTCTTTAAATTTTGTCCAATTTTTTTTTCCATTTATATTTTTTACTAGTAAGTTTTTTAATTTTTTAACATTATTTTGTAAAAAATTATAATCTCTTTTATAATAAATAAAAAATACAATAAAAATTCTTTCTATAAATGTTTTTTTTTTTTGATATCTTTTTCCAAAATAAAATTATACTAAGGTTAAAAATAAATTTTGAAAAAAAAATTAAACAAAATTTAAAGACCTAATTCAAAAATATTTCAAAAAGCAATAAAACATAATTTAGAAACGTGTTGTTCCTCCATTTGTTTTCAAGCACTCTTGTACTCGTTCTGGCATTGAATTTATTGAAGTTTTGATTACTTCATTATTCAAATGATGAGAGATTTAATTGTAAAGTTGTTCTTTACCAAGTTGAAGTAATAGCCACTAAAGACAAAATGGCGGTTACAGTGGCAGGATGTCTGTTCAAGGTATTACATTTTTATTTCTGTCATTGTTTTAGCATCCTTGCTAAATGCTACCTTAAACAAAATTTTAAGGTTGTTTTCCAAACAACCTTAAATTTCCCTGATAATCTCAACTTGATTCACTGATTTTCTCACCAATTTCTTTATAAATAAATTTATTTATAAATGAAAATTTATTACAAAAAAATATCCTTAAACTTAAATGTAATGAAACTATTTAAGATATATGAAAAAACAAAAAATAGAGAAAATATCAGGAATTCCAAAAATATCTAGAAAGATAATCCTTGAACATTAACATTTTTTTTGTAACTTCTATTTTTATTTTTGGATCTTGTCTAAAAGGTGCAACTGATTGGGTATCAGCATTTAGAGAGAAGTTTTATAAGAAAAAGAAAGATAGATATAGAAAATCTTTGAAAGAGTTATAGAAAGACGTTGTATAAGGTTGATAAAACATGCAGTGGCGGATTTAGTATAAGGCGTGGGGGGAGAGCTGCCCCCTCCTCCTCCCCTTCTCTCCCCCCCCCCCCATCACACATACATTTCATAGACCAGTCAAACGACGCCCTTAAAAACATTCAAAAATATGTGTATGTATGTAATATGTATGATAAAAGTAATGTAAAACCAAAAGTGGTTATTACCAACAACAACAACAACAAGCTATTTATTTTCCTTTAATCATTTTACAATAGTTTTGATAATAACGATAGAAATAGTAATAGTAGCAAAAATATATGATAATAACATAACATAAAAATACCACCAGAGTTGTTAGTCCTTGGCCTTGACCTTGGCCTTTCCTTAAGGCCAAAAATTGAAGTCTTGGCCTTGAAACTGTTGGCCTTGGCCTTGAAAATTTTGGTCTTGGGCTTGATTGTTTCGGCCTTGGCCTTAAAAAAAATACATATTTTCTAATTGATTTCATTGAATTCTTCCTATAACCTCAGTCTATTTTTACAAAATGTGGTTTTCTTGTCACAGCACTTGGTACTCACATTTGTGTTAATAATTAGCCTTAACTTAAGACAAAAATTGAAGTCTTTGGTCTTGAAAATGTTTACGCAGCCCTTAGCCTTGAAACTCTCAATCTTGGCCTTGACCTTAAACTCTTGGCCTTGTAACTTTTGGCCTTAGTCTTGGCATTGCCTTGTAACGCGCGGCATTGGCCTTGGTCTAAATACTTTGGGCCTTGTTAACAACCCTGATTACTACATCCACCCCTGGTGGTTTATATCACACCCGACCCCAGTTGCCCCTATTCATTGACTTGCCCTCCTCCCGCTAAACCTCAATCCGGTACTAGAAATATGGAGAAACAACATGCAAAACGTGTAACCTGTGCAACTGTGGAAACAAATACCTTGATATTTTTAATTTAATTGTCAGGATTTTTTAGCTTTGAATTTTATAATGAAATAAAAAGCAAATTTTTCTAAAGTTAGTGTATTTGTTCAACCATCAAATAGGTCACATTAGAGCAGATAAGAGTTCATTATTATTATAATAACAAAAAGTTATTATTCCTGGACAAAATTAATTAATTTTTGAATCTTAATCTTACCACATTAAATAATATTTTTATGATTTATGCTTCTTTAATGTATACAAATATGTAACTTAATGATTTGTGTATATATACATGGTGGTCACAGTCCTGGAATGTCCTGGATTTTTACAAGTGTCCTGGAGTCTCCATAAAAATTTCATTATTTTCAAAAATGTGTTGGAATTTCTTGGAATTTTATTTTTTTAAATCTTATTAAAAAATTACTAATAACATTGCATTATAAATAAATATTTTTATACTATAAAAAAATTAATATTAATGGTTTTAATTAAATTTAACGAGAGAGAATTATCTAAGATTTAGTATTATTTGATTTTAGTCGACTTCAGAAAATATTTCGAATATAGTCGATTTAGTTAATGAACAAATTATTTCAAAGTTGTAACATTTCTAATATTAACATAAAACAGGACGGATTTTGATCATGGAAGTGTCATGGAATTTCATTTGGTCATGGAAAATTCATGGATATTTTTAAAAATAATTTTTTTATTCTAGTGATATTTTTTAGAAATTTTTAGACTTCAACTACGTTTAGTAAAAGTACTGTTTTTACCATGTATATTCGGGTTATGCGAAGCTTCGAAATTTTGAATCCAATCGAATAAGTGATTCTAAACAAAACAAAAATCAAATCTTTACTCTCTTTTTTTTTATGCTTTTTTCAGGTATTTGGCGCTTTAGCTTTATCAAAACAATGTTACTTATCCATAAATACCTTTTTAATCAATCATTAAAAATGTTAATTAGGGCAAGAAGCACCAAAAAAAAATTTTATTATATAATTATTTTTTTTTGTTGAAAAATATATTAAAATAAAAAAAGTTTAAAATTAATGTTAAAAATATTGATTCAAAATGTGATTCAAAACGCGAATCAAGACCTGCTTTGATTCAAGATTCGGTTCAAAACAATAATGCTGATTTGCATGGCTCCAATGCATATAGTACTATTATCATAAGTCTAACACTCAGGTTTTCATGAGGTTGGAAGTGCCAAGAGTTTTGCTGATAATGGGACTGAATTTTGCAATGAACTTAATAATACCCTTTATGTATTGC